AAAAGGCAATATTTTGCCCCAGTGCATTATGGATTATTTTTTTAGCTCTGGATACGAGCCAAAGCGCACAGGTTCCCTTCGCTGACACGATGATGTAAATATGCAACACACGCATGACTTAAAAAAGAACTGGGAACGCTCGCCCACCAGTCCCATTCTTTCTGTGAACGCTGCTCTCCGTAGCATTTTCTGCTTCATACTGAGTACTCCCAGCACCTAACCGTGGGAGCAGGTGGCACACATTTAGCACTTCTTTCAACAACCCTCCCTGAAATTTCAAGCAGACTGAATTACAACAGATTACTAGACAGCGGATTTCTGGTGGAATGATGCCAGAAGAGGCATCCTGCTGCCAAGACTATTTAAACATGCTGTGAGCCCAGAGAAATTCTGAAATAAATTCTCCTCTTGTCTCTGCTTTTCTCACAGAAAACTAAGGCTTCTCTTAGACAAACACAAATGCGCATAGTAGCTTATACAGAAAGGCAAAAGACAAGAAACAACCTGGTAAAGAATCACTTTTCACCTCAGTTTGGCTGAATCATAACAGGGTGGTATTTATCCACACAAATGTGGTTCAAAATGGACAATTGTTTTCAACAAGGAGTAAATCCTTTGTGCTTTTGTACAGTCAAGTTCTTTCACCAACTCTTCCCAAGCTTTACAAGAAGAAAAGTCTGTGCAGGAAGAAACCAAGCCACAAAAAAGGATCTTCACTGCAAGGGCTCTTTCATAAAACCATGTGCAACGTGAAGAGATTAAGTTACCGGGTGTAGAAAGAGCCATAGAAGAGGTTTGGTGAAGACTCAAGTCCAGAAGCATACCGAAGCATCAAAACAGAGTCAAGGAAGGCCAAAAACCCCCGCTCCACTCCAAACCTCTGTGACCTATCAGACTAACAAAGCTGAAGGACTAGTGGCACATGCCTGCCACCTTTATTTCCCGACTCAAATGGCTGGGTACCGTTTAAAGCTGACTGGCACCGATTCCAGAATTAACAGTTAGCCATTTCACTGCCGCATCTTACAGAACGACAGCAAGTATTATAGCATTTACAGCAGCTGAAGGTAGAGTGAAGAGCACACAAACCGAGTGGGCTTTTCAAGAGCACCTTTCCCCTGACCGCACAAGGAAGTGGCTGGAGAACTTTTAAAGTACCCCCTCCAATCTCAAAAACACGGTATACAAGTCTCTTACCTTCATAGCTGCATACGTTGCTGATCTTCTGATCTACTTTAACGTGAATTATATTTAAGTTTTTGAAAGATGCTTTTGACTGGATAGAGATCTTAAAAACCCCAAAGCTACTGCAGAAATTGTTGCCATCATTCCAAAAGCACCTCACTGTATCTCAGTGGTAGGCAAAGCTACTGTAAATGGAATGGACTACAGCATACAAATGCAGTAACTGAATTTGCTTAGGAGAGCGAGATTCTTAACCAGCAAAAAGAGCTATAGGTCTTTGCATACGGACTGATTTCATCCATTGTACTGACACACACCATCTCAATAAAACAGAATGATCGAGTTACAGATACACATGAATTACAAATACAGCGGAGAAATCCAGAATTTCTCCTGGTGGTTATAAATGGATTTTTCACTACTTGAATGAACGTACTGAGACACATACTGCACTTGAATTACATCTAGCAACACAACAAGAAAAACATTTCGGGAATCCAAACCAACTAAAATTGTTAACATTCATGATTATTGGTTTGTTAAAAATCCTCTCCACCATGGTCTACCACACTGAGCATACTCTGATTGCCAGAGGTCAGACATCTCCCGAGGTGAAGCAAACATGCTTAAATAACCCTTATGCAACTCTGAACTCAGTGGAAGAACTCCTGTGGCTAGCACAAATCCCAAAATACACAAGGGGGAAACTGCCTAGGTAAGCAAGTTTAGTAATAGCATGTCTTCCTGGACAGCTTTTTGTTGGCCAAGAGTGATTTCTCATGCAGCCTACGTCCATTAAAGGAGAAGTGTGACTGATGAACTGTCTGTAATCATACCAGCCCACGCCTTTCTAGGCTAAACGCTATACCCAAGGCCTCTGGTCCGGCAAGAATCTCTGCAGACACTGAACTTCACAGCTTGCAAGCAAGGGCTCCAAAATCACTCCAGGCACAGCCTGCACAAGCATGTTAGTCTGAAAAAGCGTAAGCTTAGAACAGCGTAATTAGCTATGTCAATGGGCTTTCTTTCAAAAGAAAAGGTGACCTATTCCACACAAGGTGATGCAGATATTTCAGCCTCATTTCCCAACAGCACCCAAAAGTTAATGGGCAGTAATGGGACGCTGTAAATTTGCACTAACTTCATAGTAACACACTTGCATTCAGTAGCATGCCCTCATTTTGTTTCTTTGTCCAAGACAATTTGTTGGCTCCTACCCAATGCCAGAAAGAAACCTGAATTTACATTTACAGCTAGATATTGAAATGGATGGTAAAAAGAAATTTCAAAAAAATCTAGGGCAAAAATTAAAGACCTCAGTGTACCCCGCAACAAAATACGGTTGAAGCGACGCAGGGAAGCTTCCAGTTTAAATTCTTTAAGATTTCCAAATAGTAGCAACTCTGTCAGAGATCCCTGGAATATAAAAGCAAATCAAGTCAGCAGAACTCTTTTCAAATACAGATGCTCTTCCTGACCTACAAAGAACTCCCCCCAAGTATGTGCTTTCCAGAACTGTTTGTTCACATTTTAGTCGCATTGTTTCCAGTCCTGGTGCTATTTTAAGATATTCCTGCCAGGCTGAGTTTTTGTGAACAGGTCTTTAAAAGAAAAATACTAAACTATCTAGAAATACAGTATTACCAACCTCTAGCAAAAGCCCTCAACCCTACTTACATACTCAACGGAAAACCTAGAGAGCCAAGACTTTAGAAAGGGGGGCAAAATTTCCAGTCAGTGCAGTTATTTTAGTGTTTTTAATGAATGCCACGCAATTTTATTATATTTCACAAAGGATTTCTACTTCAGGGCCATTAAACTAAAAGCAGACTGCGCTTACAGATGTAACAAGCTACCTTTGATGTTACATATTATTTTACATTTTTTCAGGCAAATATTAATCTACTGTACTGAAAACTGGAAAATATCAAAGTTTAAGGAAATAAAACATCAAAATATGATCTTATGTAGGGTAAATTTAAAAAGGACTTGACCTACCACAAAGCTTGTAAACACATTTTAATAGGAATTTCTCACAATAACCTGTTGTTTGTTTATCCAAGGCGTTACTTTCATTTAAGTGGCATTCTCCAAAGGAAACTCACTATATAGAGCCCGTGTCAACTATCCTAGTTGAATTTATCACATTAAACTAGAATAGTTTTTAATTGTGGTGAATAATCTACTGTATGAATTTGGTGGTAAACAAAATAGAAGTCCCACAGTTTCTTCTGTCACCTACTGGTACTGGATTCTTTCTCCAGTTCCTATCTGCAACAACTCCAGTGAAGTACATGTACCAATGGAATATGAAAATAGCCGAGAGGAGAATCGTACTGGTTTCTACATATATATACCCAAAGTTGTATCTTACGTGGGCTAGCTTTCATGGCTTACCTCAATTGTTACTAATTCCTCTCTAAGGTTGGGGTTTTTGCTTGGTTTTTTGAAACAACTCAAATTATGAGGGAGAGACTTTTACTTTTTAGACACAGTTTGGAAGTGGTCCAAAATCTGTCATGCTGGATCATCTCCTTCAGTTCTGATAATGTGGAATTTCTTATCACCGATCTTTGTATCCTTCTGGCAAAGTATTCTTTACTTAAAGCACAGCCAAGGACTGTTACAGGTACATCACTACACATTTCCATCCAATCTCAATTATTTCCCGGTGCTTTGCACAGCTCTGCCAGCTGACATTTAAATCAGCACAACAGGCAGCCTTGGAACCACCCGATTGCCTGTTGCCTTGAAGGTTTCAAGAAAAA